TTCTGAACTGTCTCCATGTCCTCTTTCGCACACCCACCTCTCTCCTTCACTCCCTCACTCACATCTGCCTGCCTGCCTGCCTACCTTCATGCTTACCTATCTGCTGCCTACCTTCGTACCTACCATCCTACCTGTCTTTCCCTCTCTCTCCCTTTTTTACTCTCGATCTATCTCTCTATCTCTCTCTATCTCTCTCTATCTCTCTCTATCTCTCTCTATCTTCTATCTACCTATCTACCTGTCTGTCTGTCTGTCTGTCTGTCTGTCTGTCTGTCTGTCTGTCTGTCTGTCTGTCTGTCTGTCTGTCTGTCTGTCTTTGATAGGAAAACTCTTCAAATGATTTGAAAAAAAAAAATTAAGGGAAAAAACAAAACAGATCTATGGAGAATAATATGTGAGGCAACGTGGTGAAATCAGGGGCTCGTTTAATAACGAAATTTGAGAAACAGGCATTTTTCCGCCAGTTAGGAAATTATTATTGAAATTTTATTTTTTGGCTTAACCTATAGAATTTACCATGTTTTGGCAGCCATTTTCTCACTAATTTCACCTCACTTCCTTCAATTGCAAATATCTTGAATTCTACTATAGATAAATGGATGTTTATTTCATTGAAAACAAAGCAAATAAATCAGCTTTCAGATGATACCAATAACTCCACATGCCCAAAAATTGACGAGCACCTGATTCCACAGCGTGGAGACACATATTCCTTTAAAGAAAGAAGAGAGTTTAAAAAACAATAGGGCCTACAGTTCAACATAAACAGGGTATCCTTAAAACTAAGCATATCCTTTTATATTATGGATATCAATGTCAGAGTAGTCATACGTGAAGATGGAACTCACACTTTAAAAACACCATCGTCAAAAGGTAAATACAGTACCTTTCTTGAGGATATAATGCCCTATCTGTTAATTTCGAGAAGAAAAGGCGTACCAAAACTAAAAGTGCATGGAAAAGTAAGACAGACAGATGGAAAGAAACAACAGACAGAAAGAAAAGAAACAGGACCTACCACTGCTATCCTCCAAACACGTGATACATCACTTTCCACTTATAACTTTAACACCCAATTTTCATTCACTTTCACATCATTATCCACCTCGACCTACTTTGATACTACTCTCTACCTTAATTTAAGGTCACTTCCGACTTACTTGGACTCCTTTCTCTACCCAATATCTACTTATTTTGACATCATTTTCAAATTACTTTGACATCATTTTTTACCTACTTTCATCTAACCTTGACATTATTTTTGACCTACTTTCAACATACTTCGACTCCATTTTAAGTCTTCTTTGACATCACTTTCCACCTCACTTCGCTTGACTCCTTTCCCCTACTTACCTTTACGTTAGGCGAAAAGATGTTCCGGTGCGAGACGAGCGCAGCGTTGAGGTTGTGCGAGCTGAGGCACATCCAGTAGGCCTGCATGTCCCGGGAGGAGTAGCCCAGCTGGCGGCTGATGGTCTTGTAGATGTGTGCCTTGAGGATGTGGTGGCCCAGCTCGGTGGTCTTCTCCTGGGCCAGTGGCGCCGACACGCGGGACAGGCGGAACGCCATCAGAGCGTGGCCATTGCTGGGAGGGGGAGAATGAGATACAGACCGTCAAAAGATAATAATCCTAATGATAGTAATAGTAACAGTAATAATAATAATAATATATTGCATTTGTATAGAGGCCAATCCCAGACAAGTGTGAGCTCTGAACACTTGCTCAGACAAGATTTCACACACATAGGAGTTTTTGGGGGTGACTTTTTAAAGTTAGATTCGAATTTGTTTGAGAAAAGAGAAGAAACTCGACAAAAAAAGGGTCATTAAGCGATGGTGAAAAGTAAGACAGACAAAAAAAAAAAAAGTAGGTAAATAAGTAAGACTAACCAGGGACGCCCTCCAACCACTCGCTAAATTTGATTGAAAAGAAGCACATCGACAGAAAAACGATCATTTACAGAGGGCGAGGGGTAAGAAAGAGAATAACACAAGGAAAGAAAAGTAGTAGAGCCTACAAATGGCGCTTTCCACCGAGCCACATGAAATATCGAGACAAGGTGTCAAGCACAAGAAAAGAAAACCCGAAGAGCTAAATAAACGCTGAAATAAACTTTCATCCAAATATAAAAATGCAAACTGAAGACTTCGAAAGAGTATTGGGGAAAATTGACACAGAAAAATAAAAATCTGGACAAATAAATTTGATGTTCCCAAATATTTTCTTGGTTCCAACTTAGTCTCAATCGCACTGTTGAAGACAGACAGACTACCCCTAGTAAACATAAGTAGAGCCTTTGCTTTACATTTCTGGGACATTTGAATAGACGATCTCGAGACCCAAAGTCCCAAAACATCTAGCTCTCACTGGCAAAATTGAAGGCAAACGTTGCAGGGGTAGACACAGAACAACCTACCTAGAGAGCACGGTTTAAGATCAGAATAAAGTAGCTTTTTTGAGAGTATCCGAACAAAGAAATGACAGTAGAACCATGATCGCCGATGTCTGTCGCAGATCGGGCACTTGAAGTGTCTCCAAAGTGGTAATACACGACTGAGAATATTCCCCCCGAGTAAGAATCGAACCCACATTTAATGTTTAATGTGTGCAAAGTGAAGAGACACTGGTAAAGTTAATAATATGCACCATGTACAGGAGAGAGAGAGAGAGAGAGAGAGAGAGAGAGAGAGAGAGAGAGAGAGAGAGTGAGAGAGTGTGCGTGTGTGTGTGTTATGTATATTATGAATCATCAGGGTGTTTCAGGAACATTCGGTGTACAATAAAATAGGGGGCTACAATTTATTTCACATTTTTTATTTTAAACAAATCAAATGTTCTACTTTGAACCTGATTTTGGCCACGAAATTAACCAAAACAAAAAAGAAAGTAAGCAATGAGACCATAGAAATGAAACTACCATTACAGTTTCATAGGTAAAAAAAACAATAATATAACACAATGCAAAAATGTCACAGTTCCCACAAAGTCAAAGGTAGCTGGAGCCAAGGCTCCGACCAAGCAAGTGAAAATAAAACAACTTAGCTAAACAAAAATCCAAAACAATCTGTCAAAACACAACATGCGGTAAAAAAACTGGAAAGTTAAAACCAAAAAAAGGGTAAAAATACGACTCAAATGTTCAATTAAAACAAGTATGCATTAGTTCTCAATGGGATAAAGACTTACCCCCTCTCCCCCCCAAACCACCACCACCACCCTTTCCACGCCCCTTAATATTTTTGTTCTTGTTCAATTGTAGCTCTTGCAGCAAAGACGTAGCCTTTTTTTTTCATTTTAACACCCTTATCGACACTGTTGGGATCATGAGGAGAGCGGACAGCCTGGACCTTGCCTGTGTGGGCTAACGCGGGCGGAGTGAGACCCAACAACCCAGCTCACGGACGGAGATACAGTAATACTTGCGAATGAAACTCATGTCATCACCATGCGACAGCCAAGAGACGAACTGTTCCACCACAGACGACAATGGACGTCTTTCACAAAACGGATTTTAAAATATATATTATTTGCGTGTTTTTACTTTAACCTCCCCCCCCCCCCCGAACGATACAAGTAAGATTATTTAGGAAGCGGGCCAATCCGCGGTGATAGTGAGAGGGATACAAAGTTCTTTCAGAAAGATCGAGATACTCAATAAAAGTTCTTCGCACATTGGAATTGAACTCAGGTCTTCTGCAAGTGACGGCTAAGCGCCACAGACGCTGGTAGAGAATAGATTAGGAACACAAGATGGCTGAAAACAAGATAGTAGAGGTGGCAGATCGGATAATGGTTATTTGGCGCTGGGAAAAAGCAAGACAGACAGATATGTGCAGATAGAATCAACAGAGGGAAAGAAAAAAGTGATACCCAACAGTTTCGCCCTTCACCCACTCTTGAAAATGAAATGAAATAGTATAAGTTTAACGCCCCTATCAACACTAACGTCCATCTCTGAAAGGACCGAGCCAAACGGGTAATTCGTGTAAAGTGTCTTTCCGAAGGACACAACGTCGAGTCGAGCTTACACTCGAACACCCGAACCAACAATCTCACAATTACGGGTCCCGTAGCCTAACCACAAGGCTATCGACGCCACCCACCCATCCTTGTTTTGATGACTTTAAAAGTACCGATACATGTACAACATTTTTGGAATCATTAAATGAGCATTATTACAACACAAATAATCTTAAATATCTTAGGCTTTTAAAGCAAACGATATGAAAAAGACAATACGTGAATTATGTAGCCTACATTTAGATTCTATACTATACTGCGTTGATTTTCTACGAAGCCAAAAGATTAAACAAAAAGCCTGCATTCAGAAAATGTAATACAATTTTTAAAAATTGTTAAAAACATTGTCAATAAAGTTTGTTAAGCAATTTGCACCACAACGAGATTGTGGGACATTAGTAAAAAAAAAATATAAGAATGAATTATAAAATGTACTAGAAATGTACTAGAAAGCAGCATTAGCTAAACATTGTCGAAGACAATGCACTACAAGATGGTTTGTTTAGGTTTTTTTTGGTAAGCTTTTGTAACAATATTTGCGCGTGTTCCATAAACTTGAATTTTATTATAACAATATTATCATACAGAGTGCACTGTCATGCCCGTCGCTCTTTGCCCTATCTCCGCTTTCAAGCGTGTGGCTATGGACACTCAAAGGAAGGACTAATTAATCTTCATGCAATCTCGTTATATAGTCCGAGTGCGCACGGCTCATCCCCCCCCCCTTTTTTTTTTACTCTTCATTTGGCTCCAAACCGAACTATAATAATATTATGGTGTTTTCCACAGTGAATGGGAAAACACGAGACAGAGTACGATCCTGGTTATTATATCACAAGTCTACGCAAGCTAAAACACATTTCTCCCTAAATCTAGTAGGCCCTATAAAACATGCAATAACTAGTCTTTCAATGCTGCCACCGGCATTCTATTATCCTCTATTTGTATTAAATTGTATAGGTGTGTGTTTATTTCTCTTCTGTCCGCTCACACCATCCAAGGACCAGCCCTAGCAATACTCCATAAAAACCGACGCCTGGCCAGGAACAATTTTAGTACCTATTTTATGCAGTCTCAGTGCCGGGTTACTCGTACAAGAAACGTAGCTCCGTAATAACTATTCCAACGGGTTTATTTTTGATGGTTGCTTCCCCTGGAAAAGTTTTTTTTTTTTTTTTTTTTTTTTTTTTTCCCCCCCCAAGGGATGGAGAGAAGGAACAAACCACACCAGAGAGCACCCGCCAACCAAACCACCCATTTATAAACCGCGTAGATTGTAGATTGGGGCAAAATACATACATGTTATAATTATATATTATCTTTTAATAAGGATTTATCCCGTCTGCTACAGCGCCCAAAGAATTTTCTTAAACCCAACATCATCTTTCACCTCCAACCTCTAAGCACTCATTGTTTCCCAAATCCCTTTTTGTCTAGATCTGTTGGTTTGTCTTTCTGTAATCCGTTCCTCCACACTTATTATAACTATCAATCAATTAGATTTCTTGTCGCCAGAGACCTAAAAAAAATGCAAGCAGTGCTCGGGGGTGTGCCAAAGGACCACATCTTTGTGAAGGAAAAAGAAAGTGCATGGAAAGCGCAACTAACATTTTTAAATTTAAGCGTCTCTCATTCTGTCTCACATTGAGTCAAATAGTGAGCTCCGCATGGAACCGGCAGTAGGCCAAATTGCATGATACAGCTTCGAATACACAACAAGTCTTTAGAGTAACCACCCTCATAAACACTGCTATGTTGTTCGATTGAGGAGTGAGCAGCACGCTGATACATTACAGCGGGGACATTTTTAGTGGCGAGTAACCTTCAGCAGACAAGCGGCTCCCTTCCTTGTGTTAAGACATAAGGCAACGAGAATAAAGACATTTAATGTCTCACATATAATATAATATACAACTCAGTATATTAGTTATTGGAGTATATCAGTCTGTATTTGAGCAAAGAGAAGCATATTGACATAATAATGCCCGTTCAGATCACTTCTTATCAACTTTTGCATAGCCACCTCTAAGAGGCTACAATGTTCGAACTGCCCATCTATACTTTTAAGTTTTTAGTAGAGGTTCTACGGTGCTCGCGACTGCATAAGGTCATATGAGCGCCACGGTGTGAATGTCAAGAGAGAAGTCCATATGGGGAATCAGGCTTACTCTGCTCACCTCTCAAGCTTCAACAGCACAAAGTCTGCTTCGACTATCAAGACCCCGGAAATAGCGGGTCACAAGAGAGTGACAAACATACAAAAGAAGTAGAGGAAAATAAATGACAGTAAGGGTGAGGTAAGAAAAAGCAGAGGTTCCCTGTCGCAATTTTGGCTCAGTTATTAACATGACATTAATGAATCAGCCCATTTACAATTTTACTGTGCAACAGAACATGATAATGTCCCCCCTTTTGGAATGGCCTAAAGACACTCCAGTCAGTAACACCGCTATAGGGGGGGGGGGGGGAGGAGTAAACGTTTTACGGCACTTACAACACAATATGGTCATATAAGTGCCAAAGATTAGAGGTGTTACAGGAGAGTAACAAACACAAAAAAGGAGGGGAGATAGACGTTTGATAGGAAAGAAGAAGTAAACCACACCAGAGCACTCGCCAACCACCCACGTATTTCTAAGCAAGACGTTATGCAGCACCCCAACGCCCATAAGAAATTAACAAATTGCTCACAAGTGGGCGATATAGCCCTACTGGCCAAGCACTGGTTCAGAGCAATCAACAACAACAATAAAAAAAAAACAATGATTAAAAGAAGAACCCCCCCCCCCCCCCCCCGAGAAATTTTAAAAAAAGAAGTATGACCCCCAAAGGCGTCCTGCAACTACACGCGACATATCAGTGAGCGAGAGTCTCGTGAGTGTGCAGAAAAGAGAAGTGGCGATGGCTTGCAATGTATAATGAGCCGGGCGAAAGTAACAAATAACCGACACATTTTGCCGTACACTGGTAAGAACAGAACAATACTCAGATAATTGAATAGATGTAATGGAAAAGGTGAAATGGAAAGCTGATAACAGAAACTATAGCGCCTGCCAATCGCCTGCGGTGCAATAATGATAATATTATGAGAGGAAAAAAAAAAGATGCGACTGTGCACCGATCAAGCCATACCAGGACCCCAAAGTGAAGGACAGGTGCAAGAGAGGACAGCGTGGAGTGCATCGTACGATAACGGTCAGTTTCTATTTAAATGTAGGGGTTTCACGCCTGTATCAACACAATATAGATAATTTAGGAGATGTCATAATATTTAGCCAGTTATAAATTTTCTCTCCACTCGGGAATCGAACCCATATCACCACAGACGAGCGGTGACAACGGTCCCACAGGACTGGCAATCAGAAACAACACGCACAAAGAAATGAAGGACATTCCGCTACTGCGATGACCACTCTACCCTCGCCTTCCTGTCGTGAGTCTGTCTGATTAGCTCGGTTTTTATCCTCGTGTTTGTTATAATTTCAAAAAGTTGTTCAGGTCATCTGTGTAGATCTCTGTTGTTCTGTCTTCCTCAGCGTTTCTTTCCCTCTATCTTTCCACTCAGCAGAAATTCATTCATTGCTCTATTCATGTGGTAAAAAAATTTCAATTGTCATTTCTGATTCTTCTGATTAAAAAGACCTTTGAAAACCTGCTATTTTGAGCACTTTTGTGTTTGTTTTCCTCTATGTCCGTAAGATTCTGAGCATCTGGCAAATCTAGAGCTCTCATTAATCACCAACTCAAAAAATGACAAGATCTGATCCGAGCACAGTGTGAGAAAAGCACCCGCCAAAGACCCGCAGAGATACGCAACCCACGATGACGGATGTGTCCGCGGAGAGGGAGGTGCACCGCAGAATAGGTAGCCTACAGGAAGCCAGTGCAGGTTGTGCTTCGAAGCAAGCGATGAAGAGTATAACGCAAAGTCTTTAAAAATAGAGTCAATATAGAAGATACAAATATCGCAGTACAAGTACAATACACATGTTTTCTTGGTCATCTCGTAATTATCACCAACACCCCACCCCTAGAAAAAAGTACCAAAAAACAAACAAACAAAAACACACACAAAAAAACAAAAACAAAAAATCTCCAAAACAACACAAAAAAACCCACAGCAAAAACAGAGAACAACAAAATGTAATTCAACAAAACAACACCATCATCAAAAGTAACCCCTGTGTAAGCTACTCAACCCCCCAGTTAACACACATAAACGCGCGCGCTCATGCCCATATCCACACATACAGGGTTTTCAAAATCACCCCCACCCCTTTTAAAAATGTACAACAACACCGGAAAAAAATACAAACAAGGAATTTTAAACTAACAAAAATATCCCCCCCCCCCCCCCTGTCTGTCTTCCTCTATCGTATTTCTTGATTTTACCCTCTCTTCCCCAGTAATGACGTAAAGAGTTGCACACTATCACAGCCCCCCCCCCCCCCCCCTAACTCCCTCCAAGAAAAATGACAAGTCGGATTAGTCTGGCTGTTAAAGATGAGGTAACTCGCCATGCTGGGAAAAGTGTTACGTCACACTTAGCTTAAAGCAGGCTACAATCAATCAATGAATAATTTACAGGACTGCCTCTGATTGAGAGACTATTGCTTCACAAGTACAAATTGTATGTTCAATTTATACGCCTTTTCCAGATATTGATTGGCCAACATATTTTCGCAGAAAATTATTTTTTCTTTGAAAGTGTGAATCAACATGACCCTCTCGGAACAGTTTACGATTTCCCAACTCATGATTTTTGTGAAATACGAATAAAAGTAATACTTTCTTTCAAAATGGCAGAATGATTAGATCTACCGATGCAATGCACACATAGCACAGGAAAAGAAAATAAATCTATGATCAAAATCAAAACACTGAAAACAGGGCTCGGTAACAAAGAGTTAAAAAGAAACGAAACAAAAAGTAACTAATGAAAAACGACTTTACAATATGTACTGTTCGCAAAAACAAAACAACAAATAAAATGACTGGGTACACATAACACAAAATATTAATCTCTATGTACAAAATGGAAAATGCACAGGTCAGTTGTCTTTTTCGTTCTCTCTCTCTCTTTTAAGCAACTCACCGATAATCAAAATCTGCGCTGCTGTTTGGATAAAACAAATAAATGGGATAATAATAACTTAAAAGCAAAAGAGTTTTTTTCTAATGTTTGTCCAAGCAGGCAAAGGACAAAAAGAGTTAAATGGAAACACAAGACACAATAGTCAGAAAAAAATAAGCTACATTTTTTTCAAAACTGAGCGATAAAGATCACAATAACAGAAGAGAACTTTTAAGATAATTTGGGAAAACAAATTTCCATGGGCCATGATAAAAAATAATTCTTATTTTAGTGTAGAATGTTTTCTATATATTATATTTTTTCATGAGAACTTGGCACCCAGTGCTAACACAAACTAATGTCTTGTCTTCCAGTGTAAGACAACCTCATTAGGCTATGGATACAACTTCCAGTGATTCAGTGACATAATATGACACCTCACAGAAATAATGATTGACCAATCAGTCACAACAGCCAAATATGGAGGAGTCAGGAGGGAGTGGGACTCTGGTGGGACAGGGAGGAAGAGTAGTCTTCAGAGAGATAATATACAACAAACTTCCCACTAACACACCAGACTGCTATCAATCGACATGCCAGCCAAATTAACATTTGTTCTGTTGTCAGACGGGTACTGTTGTTTTGAAACTTCAGCCTGTGCATTTTCACTTTCATTATGTGAACGAAAATGAATAATAAGTATGTACACAAATTAAATATACACATACACATACAATTTCTACCATATATGGAACAGTGGCACATTACTAGATTCTAGAACTGAGTGCTCAAACATCATATCAGAAAAAACACTTCTTTATGCTTATACATTTTGTTTGAGAGTGTGCAGTGTATTAAATGCTCTGTAATGGTTACAATGCAAGTGAGGTTGTCTTTTTTTATTAGGGGATCAGCAGCTACAGCTATCGTATCAGACAATTATGTAACACAAATGTCCACCAGCCACCGACAAACAACCATCAGCTACCATAACACAGACCAACTACAATAACAAACAACCACAAGCTACCATAACATACAGGAACAAACAACCACAAGCTACCATAACATACAGTAACAAACAACCACAAGCTACTGTAACATAGACCACTTTCAGTAACAAAAAACCACCAGCTATGACAGCAAAACATTCACCATTTACTTTTTAAAAAACCCAACTAACACCTACCCTAACAATCTATGAGCTCTTCAAGCGTACTCCTACACACGTGAAGACGTCCTTATTATGCAAGATGTTAAAACAGACTCAAAAGCTGCAGTTTCCGGCTGCTGATGTTGTCATTGTTAAAGCTCAACCTCCCCCCACCCACCCCCTTCCCCACTGGAAATGAAGTCGGTCATTATTGAGGCAGTGTTTTCTAATTAAAGTAAAAACAGAAGATGTGAAGTGTAACTCAAACTGATAAACAATTCTTTGCAAACAACCTTTCTCTAGATGTTTTATCTTCGAATTGCATCAATAATGGCAATTCTGTAGAAAGCTCCCTCATATACTAGCAGTTGAAGCACCTGCAAATGCTGTTATCATTACCTCCAGTAATTCTACGTAAGTGTGGTAAAGCCTCTTGTTGGTAAATATCTGCATTTCTAAATATTTGTGAAGATATTTAGAAAGAAAAAAAGCAGGACCTGAACGTTCAAACAAAGACCAAAAAGTCAGGAACAGTCAAAGAATTACAGAACTCCAACTGTGTATTCATAAAATAGCATCCTTTATAATATCAAGTTGTAAAATGAAAAGCACACTTACCGAAGATCACATAAGAACTTTGGAGAGTCTGCCTCATCCCTGCGTATGAGCCACTCCCTGAAGGCTGGGTGGAAGAACATGAAGGTGTTGTCGTGACGACGGAACAGAAACCCGGACAGGATGTTCATTCGCTGGCAGAAATCCTCCCAGCTGATGTAACGCTGGGTGAACCCAGAGTTGACAGTGAGGAAAATATCTTCCAGGGAGAGAGGGTAGAGGGCGGCCAGACACACGCCCAGGACCGTCGACACTCTCTCAAACGCTCGCACGCTGGAGAACTTGAGGTTAAAATGCAGGAGGAACACTTCGGACAGATTCACGGGCAGTATTTTGTAGTTGGAGGACTTGGGAACTAGCTGGCCTCGCTCTATAAGGTCTAACACCAACTTTGCGTAGAGAAAGCACCCTTTGCTGAGGACCTGCACGTGCGATGAGAACCGGGACTGCAGATCTTTATCGAAGCGTCCGTTTATGGCAACGTTGTTCTGTATGGCGACGCTGTTCGAGATTCTGTGGTCGACGTAATCCACAATGTCTTTGGCCACCTGCTCTGTCTGCTCGGCGCCGTGCCGGTCGAGATAGATGCGGTGGAAGGGCAGGGCCGAGGTGATCTCCTGCAGCGCTGACTGCACGGTCACCACCAGCTTGAGCCAGCTGGGGAACTTGTTGGCATGACGACACAGAAACGAGGCCACAGTGTCACCGTAGTCCGGCTTGTGGAACTCTGCCTCATTAAGAGAGTCCACCAGGATTATGCAAGAGTCTGAAAAGATTTTCCCCGCGTTTTTCAGAGTTCGCAACGGCTCAAGAATTCCCTTCAGGAATGAGAGCGATGGATTTTGAACACATTCTTTGATGCTCAGGAGATTCTGCAACTGTGGTTCCTGAAAAGGACAAAAAACTATTGTTACATTCAATGTATGACATCAAAAGTTATCAGTACCTGAACTGAAGTGTCACATAAAAATATAGTTCAGTTGATCTCCAGCCTACGACAATTTAGCTAAAAACAGCCAAGGTACACCAAAAAACAGATTCTGATAATAGTGACATAGAAAAAGAAAGGAAAAGAACAATGCATATCAGAGCACCTACCAACCACCCAGACACCGAAATCTTATGCAGAGATTATAAGGGGAAAAAATCTATTGGCTCAGACTACCCTTTATGCCACATAATCTCCATACAATAGGATGACAAAATAAGTAAGCTTAAAAAATAATTATACCATGATAAAATTAAAATCAATACTTTGGCTTATATGCATTCCCTTTATTTCTCTCCCTCTTTCACACACACACACACACACACACACACACACACACACACACACACACACACACACACATATAATTATATTCATTCTCTCTCCCACACAACACACATTCATCCCTCTCGTTCTCTCTTCTCCCCCCCCCCCCCCCACAAACACACACACAAACATATCCCCCCCACCCACCTGTAGCAATAAGTCCCTGTAGGCCGCCAACTGCGGAGCCCGTGCCAGCTGAGCGGCTATGCTAGAGACCATGTCGGCGACCATGCACGTAGCGTTGTTGTCCGCCTGACACAGATGGTAGGCCACTACCTGGAAGCCCAGACCGTTGAGCGTGGCGTAGTCTGTCAACTGGGAGTTGGACGCACTGCGGCTGGGCTGGAGGTGCTGAGGACCTTCTGTAGGAACCACAGAGAAGAAAAACACTTGAGAAAAATTTTACCAACTACAATCTGTCTTTCATTGTCAATCCTTGGTCATCCGTTATCCAACACTTATAGTATTTTAGTACAATTGTTGTGTGAAGGAACAACGAGGAAGAACGTTTGAGGAAACGTTCGTAGACTACAGTCTTCAGTCCAATGTCAAAGGTTTAAGTCTATTGTCTGTCAACTATTTCTATTCCCTATAGTCTGTGTTGTCTAAAGGGAACATTTATCTGTTATCTAAGAATGTTAAAAGGAACGTTTATTGATGACAGCCATCTGTCTAATAATATATAGTCTGTCCGTCAACTGTTTCAATGGCCTAAAGTCTATTGTCTATAGGAAATATAATATATTGACTACAATCTGTTGTTCATTGTTTGTCACGTCTAAATGTTTACCACCTGTTGTTCATGACATCTATTACCTACTATCTATTGTCAGGGCCAACCCAAGTGGAGAGGGCTACAACATCCCAGTAGAAAGACAGAGCTGTTGTTGTGGACGGGGGTTTCTGTGGACTGCCTGCCAACCCTGAGAAGAGGCCATGCATGTTGAGGATAGGAGGGTACAGAGAAAGACAGAGATACTCCAGAAACATTCTCCTCACACAGGAATCAAACCCACATCTTCTGCATATGACAGTGAAGCACTTGACCACTACACCACAGATGCCGGTACACTTACTCTCTGAGCCGCCAACACCAGAACTGTTCCTATCTCCGAAGCAGCTGTGGTCGACCAGCTGTTCTATCAGAGCCGTCTTGCCACTGCCCAGACCGCCCACAACGACCACACCCGCAGGCCGGGACGCGCCCCCAGCATCACCATTGAGCACATTCTCCAGCTCGCTGAAGAGCCAGGCACGACCCACAAACATGGGCTTTCCCTCCGGGTGAGGAACCTCGAAGACGAGAGGCTTGAGCTGAAGTTGTGGCGGTTTGATGGGAGTGAAGCGTACTGGAAGATGGTGCAAAACATTTGTTAGTATTTTTTATGGGAGTGACATCTACTGAAACATAATACAATAACTTAGTTAAGGGTTTTGACTGTAGTAAAGTACTAAAAACTAGAATCTTCATAGAAGTGTCCAATCAACAATGTAATAGGGAATAAAGAGTTCATTCAAGTCTTCAATGACTTGCGACTGGAACATATATAGAGACAAAAAATTATTATCATTATTAGTATTCTTTTTCATCCACTTTCAAACTACAATTATTCTAATTTTGAACAAATAAATTTTTATTGAACTGTACTTTATATTCTTTTTCCATGCACTTCCAAACCCTTAGCTCAGTTCTACACTTCAGAATATTTTACGTCTTGTGTTCCCAAGTGCCAAGTTGTGACAGGCTCCAGTCAAGATGAAATACACAGAGTACTCACATCTCCCATCAGCCATCGTGGCTCTTGCTGATCGGCGCAGTGAAGAACGTCGCTTCCCAAACAGAGGCAGCTCTTCAATGGCACCTGGCATGGAGGCTGTGAGAGGGAGGTAGTAAGGAAATTGTTGTATTACTTTTTCTAGGAAGGAGAGATATATCACAGCAATAATGAAAATTTAGTGCTGAGAAAAAGCAAAGCTGATATACAGAATCAGCAGAGGTAGAGTAAAAAAGTAGGATCTAACAGAGTTCAACTATCCGTGACATAACATCTAAGTCACTTCCACTCTCTTGTTCTCCCTCCTTTTATCTCACTCTCTCCCTGTCTCTCTCTCTCTCACACACAACAACCTCACATGACAGAGAGCAAATGGATAAATACACACACACATACATACGCCGCTACCCCCCAAAAAAACCCACACAAACACACATAAAATAGAGGGAGGGTACTGGGTCATAGACTGTGGGCTGATCTCTACATACATACACACAACACACACATATACAAGCACATACCCCTCTTTACGCTCACAAACACACACACACACACACACAGATAAGCACTCACTGGTGATGGAGTGAGGTCGCTGTGCCGTGGACTGTGGGCTGATGCTGCTGGTAGACATGAGTGAGACCATACTGTCAGCGCTCAGCTCCCGCGAGGCCACGGGGTACAGGCTGCCAGGGTGGCTGCGCAGGCTCAGTAAAGCAGCGCCTGGCTCGCTGCCCGAAGACACTGGGGATGCAGGAACAAGACGGTCAAGACTGCTACAACAGGCTAACAATGGTACACAATGGTCAAGAATGAGTATGACAGATTGATAGATGTAAATAGTGGTCAAAAGTGTTTAACACTTTGCAGTCACACAGCCAGCAGTACAAAATACCCCATCTTATCACCGAGCCAGGGAAGCGACAACAACGGACATCTAGGGCCTCATGCAGAACTGCGCCAGGTGACGAGAACGGATAATTTTCACCGTCATATTATTGCGTCAAGTGATTGCAAAGTGTTAAGATAGCTAACTCATACAGAATAGTCAAGAAAATTTTAAACAGTTCAAAAGTGGTAAAAAAAAAGGTAAATAATGTGTAGGATAGTTTAGGTACAGGATGGTCAACAAGTTTTAAGAAAGCTTAAGTGAGGTAAAAACTGGTCATGAATGATAGAAAACAATCAAGAACAGTTAGCAACAGAGCTCAGGAATGAGACTGGTTGAGATTGGATTTTAAAATCACTTACAGCAGCAAGTTAGACAGCATGATCCACTATGTAACAGCACATAGATAACTAGTCAACAAAACCATTCAGTGGTACTAATATATTTTTTTAAGAGTAGAGGGAACACTGACACAATAAAGGTAATTATTCATGCTGCAAACAGGGAAAAGAGGAACACAGACAGATGGACGGACAGACGGACGGACGGACAAACAGACAGACAGACAGTTAAACCTGGGAACAGTGAAGGTGCAAATACTTAATAGTGGCAGCCAAGAATCACTAGCTTTAAAAAAATGTAATTTAACACATTATGAAAATCAGCACAAGCGACAATTTATAGTTTCAACAATTAATTGGTTAATCAACAAAAGGCGTTATCGTCACAAGGCACTTGTGAGTGTTGTAAAAAAATTAAGCTTTTACACATTATGAGAAATGGCTTAAGCAGCAATCTGTAATTGTAGTACAGGGCATAGAGCATGCTGCAGAGTGTGGATGTGTGCTAAATACATTCCATTATTTTTTTTATTTTTTTTTCTATGATTATATCATTATCATTATTTTCATTATTATTAGTATTATTATAATTGTCATTATTATTATTATCATATCATCATTATCATTATTTCTAGTATCATTATTATTATTATTATTATCATCGCTATTATTATTATTAACTTCAACAGCTAACAGGTTAATCAACAGAAGGCGTTACTGCCACAAGGCACCTGTGAGTGTGGACATAGGACTGGTGTCGGAGAGACATCTCTCCGGCGTGTTCTCATTACTCGACAGTGACGAGATGGACTGGAACCCGGGCGGTAGAACATGTCCAGGATCCTGGATTCCGACTCCGGTGACCCCCGAGGGCGGCATTCTGTCGCCGAGCAGCAAGCCAAGCCTCATCATCAGGTCATTTTGTGCGACGTCCGGAGGAGGCGGTGGTGGGCTCTCTTTGCCTGGAGACAAGGTCAGAGACAAGTGGTGATGATATCAAATGAGATAACAGAAGTCTTTATTGTCCGGATCCAGACACATAGGTAGGGTGTTTCACTAAGAACACACACTCTCTCTCTCTGTCCCCCTCTCTCTCTCTCTCTCTCCCTCTCTCTCTCTCACTCACTCACTCACTCACTCACTCACTCTCACACATACACACACACACACGCACACACACAGATGCATGCACTCCAATGCACACACCCATGCATGCACACTCTCTCACACATCCATCCTATTCTTCTCATTCAACTGTACACATGAATATAATAATGTAATAGTATGCTTGGGAAGAATTCATTTAGAAAAACAAGGGGGTCAGTTGCACAAAAAGTGCTCTCAACTAGAAATACCCCTCTACTTTTCAGTCTGAATAAGAGGGTCTAGACGAAGATACTTCATGCGATAATTGGGACAGGGGAGATTAAGTCAATGTGTTTATGCCCTGTACCTCTACATGTTGTTTTATACTAAATATGGCTGGACATGATTTTCATCAAACATACCAGATCATTGACTAGAAAATCAAACATATTTGAAAAAAAATGTTTTTAATAATCCACCCCATTCTCACTCTTCATGAGGGAAGCATCAATATCTAATAGGGATTTGATAAAACGTTCAATGTACAGGGTACAGCCTACAACACTGGCCCCAACACTGCTTTGTGTCCTTGGGAAAGGAACTTTACATACATTTTCCTCACTTCACCCAGGTGGGAATGAGTAGTTTGTGCTTTAGTGCAAGTCATCCACAGGTTTCACCAGGAAGTCGAGAATGTTTTTGAGTCATGTTGTAAGTTCTCCTGGGGTAATAATAGTTGTAAGATGCATTGGCTTACAGATGCTGTAGAGTGTGGATATTATTATGTACCTCATTATTATTATTATTCTTATCATCATCATATTATTATTATTATTATCATCATCATCATCCTCATTATTATTTTCATCATCATCACCATCCTTCTTCTTTTTCTTCTTCTTATCATCATCATTACCATTCTCCAACTCTCTGTTCCCTGAGGACGTGGCAGACTGTAGACTGGCGTCTGTTGATGCCAGGGCTGAGCCAAGGGCTGAGTCAGCGCTCAGCTGGTGGGGGCTGCTGCTGTTTCTCTCTAGAGGGGACACTCCTCCTCCTCCACTGCTGAGCAGCTTGTGGGTTGACGAGGGAGGGGGGAGCGCGGCCGCGGGAGAAAAGAGCTTTGGCTTGGCTGGAACAGGCGGACCCATTTTGTGGTGACCTGAAAGGAGGAAGGAGTTTTCGGTTTTAGTTCAGTTTTAGTAAGAGTTTTACGGCACTTGCAACACAATAAAGTCATATAAGTGCAAAAGAATAGAGGTGTTACAAGAGAGAGACATACACAAAAAAGAAGGAGGAGAGATAAGGAAGATGGATGCTGAAGATTAGAGATGTTACAAGAGATTATCAAACACAAAAAAAGGAGGAGAGATCAGGATGATAGATAATTGATAGGAAAGAAGGAGAAAGGGAGAAAGGGCGGTGGAGAGGGAATGAGTGAGGAGGAGAATAAGTTGCCATAGAAAACCAAAGTAACAAAAAACATACAAATCCCAACACTTTCTTAGAAGAAAACAGGACAGGTAACAGAACAGTGAGCTACACATTTGTGATCAACAATGGTGTGCTTCCTAAATTCTCTTTAATTTTATGATGAAGTGTTAATATGATAAGTTAATGTAACCTCAGAAATACTCTATGAATGCCATTACAATGTAGGCTACTTGTTACTGTAATGACACAGTTTTCAGATAGCAAGACCTACAGAAGGACGGACGGACGGATGGACAGACAGACAGACAGACAGACACACACAGACACACACCCACACATCATATGGCATCGGTAGCCTAGTAGTTAGGCTGCCGGACTCATGAGGTAGCGGGTTCGAGGGTTCGAGCCGTGGGCCCAATGTTGTGTCCTTGGGAAGACACTTTACACGAATTTTCCCCACTTCACCCAGGTGGGAATGGGTACCCAGCTACAGACAGTGAAAGATCTTGTCAGTTTGTTCGTGTTTGAGCGCTTGCACTTCAGTGTATGTTTCCCGGGAAGCTGAGAATGTTTCTGAGTGTTCTATGGTCTGCTGGGGTAATAATATAGTGTAAAGCGCATAGAGCTTGCTTTCGAGTGGGGTCATGCGCTACACAAACGCTATTAATTATTACACAGACAGAATGAACCTACCTAAAGGAGCTGGGGAGAGGGAAGATCTGGGTGGCAGCAGAGGTGGAGGGTCAGTCCTGGAGTGGACGCCAGTGAGATGACCATTGGTCTTGAGCTTGGGCCGGTGGGCAGTGTAGCCAGCTGGGTCCACCAGCGGCCTGGGCGCATCACGGTACAGTTGAGCTGTCAGGGGAAAATAGTCAAAGATAATTGTTAAAATATTCCAGTAAGAGGTTTACGGACGGTACTTGCAACACAGTTATTATTATTATTA